AGCAAATTAGAACGGGAACGTGTGAAGAAACAGCTCGCTGAAACTAAACATGCTAAGCTCGTGCTCAAGACCGACCAACCCGTGGCTTATAGGGTGTTTTAGCTAAGCAATGCTAAGCAAATGCTAAGCAAAGCTAAGTAAAGCTAAGCAAATGCTTAGCAATGCTAAGTAAAACTTAGCTCTTAGCATTAGTAGCTATGGTATTTGAAGTGTTCGTCGTGTGCAACTTAACCTTCATTTCTCTGTGTTTCGCCTATATCGTATATTATATAGTTAAAACTAAAACTTACTTATCACATTATAAGATGGAGTGTGAGGAATTGCTAGAGCAACTGTTGGTGCCAGTGGACGATGATAAGCGAGAGAAACTGGTGGCGTTGGCTGTTGGCGGCAAAGCCAAACATTACTTTGGAGACTACACTCCCGATAAAATTCACAAAATGTCAGCCGAAGAAATCGATAAGCTGTACGCTAGATACGAGTTCCGGCTCGGGGCCGAGGTGACAAAGACAATAGGATCGGCTATGACCCAGATATACACTGGTATTGCGTCGTACTTCCTTCCCATCCCCCCGGAGAGCCGACTTTACCTGTGGGAGGACCTTGAGAAAGACCCTTTTATCGAACACGCCTTGAGCTCTATCAGCTGCGTGCTGTACCACAAATACGGTATGTTGTTAGCTCCGGTTACGGCGGCGATTATCACGGCAAAGTATTGCCAATTTGAGAGGAAAAATAATAATAGTATAGATGGATGCTGCACAGGAGGAGACACCACAACTGGAGGAAACCTTCAGGGGGGAACCCCAACAGGGGGAAACCCCCAGGGAGGAGAACCCTTCAGAGGAGACGGGGGAGACCCCCAAGGAGGTGAACCCACCCCAACCCTCTACAGTCACCAGGCAGAAGAATCCTAAGAGAGTAGCTGCCAGTAAAAAACGGTGGTGTAACCAACATAAAATTATCACGGTGACTCACCCGGCTCGACTATTGTTGGTTGTAGGCGTAACTGCTGCCGTGATTATCTCATGGTTATATACACGACACAGTGAGGGAAACCCTCACAGGGAGCCCCCACAATTAGGGGTCAACCCACATATCATGTTATAATTTAATATTTTTATATCATATACATAATGCCTGAGGGGAAAACGTTCGTCAACGACGCATACCACGCCACCGTGGTGGCCATTCTAGCCGTAGGGTACGCTCGGTTGACCAAAATGGTGCTTAAACAACCTACTATCAAGCTAGATTTCAACCTGCAGGATATGGGTATGCTCATAATGAACCTTGGTATGGCGATGGCCACAAAAGACATCCTAGTAAAACAAGGGATACTACCTGAAAATATTATGAAGTAAATATATGATGGCTACGATTGCCATGATGGTCGGTTGGGCGTTAGTAAATGCCCTAACATTTTCTGGGAGTAATTTCCTCTTCTCGAAACTACGAGAGTCACATGCGGCTGAAATACAGGAAGAAAGGAGGTGGCATGACCTCGCTATTGAGAAATTACAGACGGCACAGGCCGAGTATGCTAAAAAACGCCTCCAGAGGATCGATTACATTAACGAACAACTCAGGCGTGAAAACCATGCCGTTCAAACATTCCACGATGTCGACGACGCAGCGAGAGAATACTACTTACTAACTGGTAAACGGTTGCAACCGCTCAATAAACCCACACTCGCTCAGTACTACACACCATCCAAGAGGCAAATGGACCGTGAACTGGTTTTCATAGCGCTGGGTATAGCAGAGACTGCGTTGGTTGCGAAACAATTAGACTAAGTACTCATATAAGTATGCTAAACATGAGACCTGCTCCATACCGATGCGAATACATACTTATGGGGAAGAAAGAAGCCTGTGATAGGAGATGCAGGACCGAGGGGTACTGTTGTTTCCACATGGGAAGCCCTAACTACACGTGTTCTGTGTGTGGTATAGGGGTTAAAGGGCACTACTGCCTATGTAAAGCTCACGGGGCGAACGTAGTCAGACATCATCTCATCTACGAGAATAAAAAGGCCTACATAAAAGAACATAGGCGACTTCTCAAGATAGACCCCCAATTAGACACTGTGCACACCTAGGTATAACTATGTCTGTGGAACTTAAGATCGAATCTCTGGTCAAAAACATATTCGAAGAGGAACTGAACGACTGGGGGCGCTTCAGATTTCAGGTCACATTGGGAGTGGCATGGATTAAGGAGGGTGTTAAGTGTACTCGCCCCTTCACATGTGAGGTTTAGCTTTCACCAGACAATATTGTATATTTAGCTTTCAACAGACAATGTTGTTTATTTAGCTTTCACCAGACAATATTGTTTATTTAGCTTTCACCAGACAATTTTGTTTATTAAGCTTTCATCAGACATTATTGTTTATTTAGCTTTCACCAGACAATGTTGTTTATTTAGCTTTCACCAGAGAATAAGCTTTATGCAGCTTTCACCAGACAATATTGTTTATTTAGCTTTCACCAGACAATGTTGTTTATTTAGCTTTCACCAGACAATATTGTTTATTTAGCTTTCACCAGACAATGTTGTTTATTTAACTTTCATTTCCCAATACCATTGGAGATGGCCTAAATTGCATGTGTATTATTGCAATTTGAATTGTAACCTGTAAATTGGCCTCTGGCTTATACAGAAATAAATTCCTAACCCTAACCCCAACCCCAACCCCTAACACTTATACTAACCCTAACTCTAAACACCAGCAAGCCCCCCTAAACACCCCCTTAAAAATTCAAAGTGACAGTATAAAATGAATTTCTTTATTCCCGTAATGTAAACAAAACACTGAAGCCTTACTCAACCGACCCGTGAAGGTCCTGGTTAGGATGAATCTTCAGTAACCCATGCTTGTCGTAAGAGGCGACTAACGGGATCGGGTGGTCAGGCTCGCTGGCTTGGTTGACACATGTCATCTGTTCCCAACTGCGCAGAACGATGTTCATGCTGTTGATCACTGGATTGTGTGGTCCAGACTCGATTATTTACAGACCTCCGCCATATAGCTGGAATATTGCTGCTTGCGGCGTAAAACTAAATTCACTCACTCAGTCACCGTTCCAAAACCATAACAATCTGAGGCAAGTGCGACCTTTGTCGCCATTGGGACACTGCGGAGGGATTCGGTGTAATACATTTGTACAACAATATTGCAGCGTCACAGTTAAGCATAGGGACAGGTCGTGAAGTCAGGAAATTGCAACAATATTCTGAAACAAAAAGGAACAAATATGTTAGATTTCACGTGCGTGTGCTTACTTAGTGAGGGATTCTGAAGGCAGGCCCACCAACTGACACCCAATGGTATAAGATCAACTTGAGTCAAATGTCTTACCAAAAGGTGTAAAAGTGCCGGTATTCTAAGTTAGCTACTTTGTTACATCAATCGTAATATCGGGGCCTGCCAATGTGGCAAGTAGTGACAAATAATTGCCTTTGCTTAGTAGGTACATACCTCGTAATTCATGTCATAGTTAAGTGCGTTATCTTACGTTCATATTAAGTATGTCAAAATATACACTCATTGGACGTTTGCGACGAGTTTGTTTGACATCAAAATGAAATTGACGGCAATTCATATGAAGATTAACTTGGCTCTGTTCAAATATAGTGAGTGAGTGAGTGAGTGAGTGAGTTGGGTTTTACACCGCCTTTAGCAATATTACCAATATTACTGGAAAGAAAATTGCGATTCTCATGTGTTGCTGTTCAAATTAGGTTTGCTTTGGTTGTCGTTTAACGCCGCACTCAGCAATATTCCAGCTATGTGGCTTCGGTCTGTAAATAATGTAATCTGGGCCAAACAATCCAGTGTTGAACAGCATGAGCATCGATTTACTCTAATGGGATAAGATGACATGTGTCAACGAAGTCAGAGAGCCTGACCACCCGCTGCCGTTAGTCGCCTCTTATGACAAGCATTGGTTGCTGAAGACCACCAGTTCTAACCCGGATAGTCTGGGTAATGTTATTGTATGTCCACATCGTGTAAATATTGGAGTCTTGAGCAGACAATCCTGTGATTGATATCAGGAGCATTACCGCGAGCATCAAATACATCTATAACGATTGTTGGTAGGTTTTGTACTTTGTGTGCACCACGAGTCAGCGTGTGTCGAACGTACAGAGGACGTACATTACGTAACGTCAACTACATTTGGTGATAAATCATCACGACATCTGATGTTTTTATACTTTTGCAACCGTATTTCCCGTTATATAGGCATATGTATACACAGCGAACAGTTTTAGCGAGTGTGAAATCTTTCCAACAAGAAAACTAAGACACAGAACGCATCATAAGCTTCGTTTGCTCCATGTGACTGTGGTAAAAATGTCCAAATTATGTTGAAGGCACAGCTAAAATGATTTTCATTGAAGCTATTCTTTCTAAAACTCGTATTGTACAAGGATGAAATGTTCTGACGTCATTCTGTGTTAAAATTTCAAATAATAATCAGTGTAGCTTTTGGTAATAAGTGTTATAGAGATATATCTAAGCATCTCGAATATCACTGAGACCTCAGTAGATAAATAGACACCACGTGAATCCGTGTAACGCATATGGCTTACCATTAGGCCTTTTTTTCTAATTAATTGATTTACGGATTTTAAAAAAAACAAACTAGGGTCGGTGGTCGAAATAAAAACAAAAATTAAAATTAAAATACTTCAATTTGTTTAAGTCTTTGTCTCAACATTTGATTAGAAACAATCCAAATTTGGATAGTGTAAGAGAAGAGTAATTATTGTGAATCATAACAGTGAAAGACTGAGTTTTTCTAAACTCTGTAATAATTTCAAAAAGATGTTGACATTAGGGGTGTCTCGATTCGGTTCGGTTCATTAAAAATCGAACAGATAGATGTACGATTCGATCTCGATTTCGAATGCATCCATTTCGATTCGATTCATAAAGTACTTACTTTCTAATACTGAGAGTTTATTTCACCTGAAATCATAAGAAATTATGTTGAAAATTCGCTTCTACAAGTGTGGCCAGTGGGAGGGTAATCTCCACTGCCGGAGACATGCGCCCAGAAGCCATGTCTTTCAAGTGAAAATTCCTTGCACAGAACATGATCATTCCAAATGACCTACAGTGAAATTACAGTCACAATGAACACTTGACACCAGAGTTCGTGAGTGAAACTTAATTTCATGATCACTTGTTCAGTGAATATTTGTTGACAACTTGTCTTGACAGTGTTCTAATCGTGCACTGTGCCAATTTTCCAAAGTTTGCCAAATTAAACTGATATTACAACAAATTTGACTTTGTCCTCAGCTTTGGCGAATCGAATAGATAATCTTATCGAATCGAAGTGAGAGTGAATCGTGACACCCCTAGTTGACATCACCTGTAGAATGCGGTTACCTCACTATTACAACCAACCTGACATCATTTAATAATCGTTGACAGTGCATCAATGTTACTGACAGTCTTTTCCATCGTTGAAGCATCGAATATATAGGATTTGTCATGTTTCCAGTTTAATATCTCTGCAAATATCAGCCATATGAGATGAGAGGTAATTGATATTGCACTGGAAATATCCGACCTCTATATTGAATACAATGAAAGTACAAACAAGGGACATATTCACTACTGACTTTAACACTGCCTAGTTGTTTTTGACTTGTTGCTTACAACGAAGTTGCGGGGGAATAGAAACAAGCTGCGTCCGTCCCTCCGTGCGTGCGTCAGTCACACTTTGTCCGAAGCATATCTCCTATACTATTTGTGATAGCTTAACCAAGCTTGGAACACATGTCAACCATGATCCCGAGATTTGCCTCTTGGGGGTTAGACCCAGATGCGACTTTTATTTTTTGCAGTTTCCATGGAAACATGACTTAGGCTGTGACTATGAGGATGTCATAGTGTTCCATGACAACACGCTAGGCTTCAAGTGAATTTGGTGGTGGTGCTCCTTTCTGGAGCAGATCTTAAAAACCTTTCAATACTGTGTAAGATGTGAACAATGTAACTGTAAGATGAAGATGTCCGACCTGTGTACACGTGTTTTGTATCATCAGTGTAAGATGTGAACAATGTAGCTGTAAGATGAAGATGTCCGACCTGTGTACAGTGTTTTGTATCATCAGTGTAAGATGTGAACAATGTAGCTGTAAGCTGAAGATGTCCGACCTGTGTACAAGTGTTTTGTATCATCAGTGTAAGATGTGAACAATGTAGCTGTAAGATAAAGATGTCCGACCTGTGTACAAGTGTTTTGTATCATCGGTGTAAGATGTGAACAATGTAGCTGTAAGATGAAGATGTCCGACCTGTGTACAGAGTTTACTTTGTGTTACAGCGACACCGACACCAGCACGGAGAGACGCCCGGGCAGACGCCGAACTCCATGCCGCCTGCAGGAAGGGGAACCTGGCGGAGGTGAAGCGGATACTGGACACAGGTCAGGCTGACATCAACTGTAGAGATGTGGGCGGAAGGACACCGGTGATGTGGGCAGCATCGATGGGACACAGGGATGTAGTGGAGTTCCTTGTGAGTCGAGGTGCTGATGTGTCACTGGTGGACGGTGGCGGTAACAACATCCTTCACTTCGCCTGTCAGGGAGGAGACAGGGAGACGGTGAAGTTTGTCTTGTCTCTGGATTGGGTGGACATCAACAGTAGAGGAGAGAGGAGCAGGACACCGGTGATGTGGGCAGCACTGAAGGGACAGAGAGATGTAGTGGAGTTGCTTGTGAGTCGAGGTGCTGATGTGTCACTGGTGGACGATGGCGGTAACAACATTCTTCACGTCGCCTGTCTGGGAGGAGACGGGGAGACGGTGAAGTTTGTCCTGTCTCTCGACGGGGTGGACATCAACGCCAGGAACAACTACAGGAAGACAGCGACCGACGTGGCGAGAGATGAGGAACATCATCAACTGTCGGATCTCCTGGTGTCACGTGGTACACAGTGAAGTAAATGTAGTGTTGATGTAGACAATGATGCAGGGCATGTCGTTACTGACACTGACGTGATGTGCCGTTCATGTCGTCGCATTGTTTATAATTCACTATCAAGGTGAGAATATTTGTTGTGTTTGAGGAGAAATAAAACTTGTTGAGAATATTTTCAGACATTTTGTTGTTTATGGAACTTTACGTGATCAGGTAAGGATATTGTTGACTGTAAATATTGATGATATGTCCTCGGTACATGAACCCTGCATCTCGTAATGTAGTTCTGTTTAATTATGTATCATAATTCGTGAAAAAGACAACAACAAACTGTTTGTTTACATCTCGCTACACTCTGTGACCTCAGACTGAGCAGAGGTTCGTCAGCTGGCGCGGCGCCAAATGTACAGTGACGTCACATTGCTGATGGCGTCACGGTGCTGTGGTCGTGACCAGCTGTTTTCTGTGCCAAGTGTTACACTGCCGCACACTGCTGGCTTGATGACAGGGTTACTGTATCACCTGTATAGAACAACACAATCATCCGCTGTTCATTGTTCAGTGTTCATGGGGGTGGTAGGGTATCCTGTGGTTAAATCACGCCGAAGACCCGGGTTCGATTCCCGACAAGGGTAAAATGTGTGAAACCCATTTCTGGTGTCCCTCACAGTGATATTGCTTGAATATTGATAAAAGTGGCTTAAAACCAAACTCACTCACTCACTCACTCGCTCAATGTTCAAGGATTAACGGTTTCCGAACTTTTGAAAACACAATGGCATCAAAAGTCTGAAGGAATGAGTTTGTCATGCAAAACGTTAACCTAAATACTGAAATATCCCCGGGGCCGCATTTCTCCAAAAACTCAACCCCTGGATGCAGAGGGTTTTTTTCAGGTGCATATTTTCAAACGGTTTGAAAAGTGAGCGTTGTGCAAGAACTGAGCTCGCGTGGTCCTGGATCTGCATACGGCTATAAAATTACACAGAAATGTCGAATACGACATTTCCTATCAGTTGGTATAAATATAAGTACAACTAACTCAGCGGTTTGAGTAATAGACATTGCTAATTGTCCAAAATTTTGTTGTGCGTTAAAACACGTTAAATTTCTCCGATTTTTATCGTGCACCAATAAAAGCACTGTGCTACAGTTGTTTTGATTCGGCATCTTTACGAAAAGTATGAGCGAAGAAACTACAGCCTGATATCTGAACGAAATAAGTATATATGAAATGGTTTTATGTGCTTATGCATAACGTTATACGATCAACATTAGAAATGACTCGCAATCAATGTAAAAAAATGGACTTTCTTGTATGACGCACAGGGGCTTGTGACGCTAAAAACTGCCATCAAGGTAAATACTGTCACTGACGGGGTCTCAGTACTATATAAAAGGAAAGGGATGTAACGAGGTCAACACACCAAGTTCGTTCCAGGGCGAATTGAACAATGCTCACTGTATTTATCCCATTTAAAGTATGCACTGGCTTCAGGCCAATAGATTTACCTACAAAATGAGACATACAGCACAAAAATCGAAGCAGTACTTTGGGAGTTAGGGTCTTCGGAAGCTCGAAAAACCGTGATTTCTCGATTCCGAGCCACAATCCCTGCTCAGAGTTTGTAGCGGTAACTCATCCATTTTCTTGCTTATTTCACAGTATACACAAACGACATTCACCAAAACATGTTGAACTGATGGCACCTGTCAGCGTCATCTCACTGTCATAATGAGTTTACGAACATTATGTTCCCCAATGTGAGCGAATACGTTTTGGTAGTTTCACAATTTATGAGAAAATATTACAAAGCACGTAATATAACGATTTGGATGGCCTTATCCGATATAAAAGTTAGTTCTTAGATTCCAATATTCTGCCGTTTGTGTAGATGTATTTTGACTAATTTGGCATCATTGTTAACAGACTACTAGCCACATCTTCAAATCTAATGAAATTCATGAAAATAATAGAACGGTTTTGTTGACGTCATTGGTTGTTTTATGCATTTTGCGACGTCAGAAAAAGACGACATTGTATGCTGATTAGAAATACATGTACCTAATTTCCATTAATTGTATACGAGGTCTCGGCTTCTATGTCAGAATTTAACACATTTAAATAATGTTTTGAACATATCAACTATTAGACCGTATGACTGCGTATCTTATTGTGAGCAACACGCCAACCTGTTTGGCATTTATTTAACGTAAATGAAAAATAATATTGGTAAATGTGTTTATCGTTTTCATTGTGAGATAAGAGAAGACACCAGAAATGCTAGTAATTACAGCTGTCGTTCTGCGTGATTTTGCGTCAGTCATGGCGTCACGGTGCACGGAAACTTTGACAATTTCTTATGAATTATAAAATCATTCCATTGTATCTATTTGTAATTTCCCATTTTTTGCTACGATATTCTTTCCATTCATATTCTAAAGGTATTGAGTCATTGCAAGCAATGAATAGACGGCTAGTTGTCGGAAAATTTCAGAAAATGCTACGGAGTTGAAAATAAGTAATTGTGTTTGTTTACATTTGAAACAAGCGCAGTCTTTTGAGCACAGCATTTCCTTTCACTCCCCTTTATGTTTTGTTTCGTTTCATGTAGACAGTTAGTATTGGTGACAAAGACCATTTGCAATTTGATTCTAAAATGTATGGGGAATTCAGTCATGCATTTGTCGCAGCTAAATATGAAATATACGTGATGCAATAAGCGTCTAAATACCGGCCTTCGCGAAACGTGATTTTGTAAACACTATCCAATATGGTGGAAGGCGTCCGGCGTCCGTGTAGGTTTTTGAAAACATCCTTACCGATTCTAAGGTCATCGGCAACGTTTCAGAATTATCATTAGTGATTTCATGAAAAACCGATATCAGTGATCATTGATATGCAATGTTTTAAAATTCAATACTCCCAGTAATTATCCGATTTCCACATTTCAAAACATGCAGCAAATAACGATGTGAATCGCGAAATGGCGACATTTACGATGAAGCAAGTTTTGAAAGGTTACTTGAAGCACTTTAGCTTTGTCTGAGATAATAGTGGATGGTATCAAGAAACAGGGAAGCGCCCACAGAATTCCAAACTGTGAAGTATATTTGTGTGCGTGATATATTTAGAATTCTATTGGACTTCAAAATGAGGGTTGACATATATGTCCTTGTGGCACCCAGGGGGTTAAGGCTGTTTATAAACTTAGTTTGATCGTATTTTTCACTTAAGGTTTTCGGTAAAACTTGAACCATATTTATCAAGCAATTAACCCTGGATTGTGCGTCTGACGCACATAAGGTCTGAAAAGTGAACGTTATGCGAGAATTCAGTTCTTTTGCTTGTTTGTTTTTAAAAGATCGCACTGACCTATACTCCAGCTATACGTTTGTGGGCTGTACATAATGAAGTCTGGACCAGACAATCTAGTGACTGACATGATGAGCATCGCTCAAGGCAGTTAAGATACGACGACATGTGACAACCCAGTCAGCGTGCCTGACCACCCGTTAGTCGCTTTTTACGACAAGCATGGGTTACTGAAGATCAAATCTAATCATGATTTCACGGGTAATCTAGGTATTACGAAGTCAAGCATGAACATATGCTGTGTAGTAAATGTGATAAACTTCTGAAGAACGTTCTGTTTTTGCCTTTATCACATTGTCAGCCATATTTTAGGAAACTGGTCCAATGGGCAGTGACAATTGAATAGATGTTAACATCAAATTTCATATCAAATGACGTAAAATCAAGTACTCATACTTATGGGCCTGAAAAGTAAACATTGTCCGCAATTTTCTTGTGCGGTAAAAACAGTAAATTTCTCCGCGTTTAACGTACAGCACAGTGTGAAGGTTTTTTTATTTGGCATCTTTAGAGAAACGAGGGAAGCACTGCCTGATATTTTTAATGGATTTGTAAGCTTATGTAGAACATTATGCATTCAATGTGTAAAATAACTTGCCATAAATGACAGAATTTACACGCAAACATACACACTTAAAGATAAGGGGCACAACTCTGCCGGGCTTAACACCAGGTCATTGTAACTCGGGTCCACGAACATTTCCTGTGGATACGGACAGTATATTTTCGTGATGTTTTGTTAACTGTGCACCAAACTATTTCAATGCAAAAATCTACATTGTAACCGAATGCATGATATTTATTATGTTAATTATTTCTAACATTCCCTTACTCTCTGGGTTGTGTAGATGTATTTGGACTAATGTTGCACCATTATTAACAGAGTACAAGCATTATCATCAACTGTAATGCTATTACTGACAAAATGACACCACTTTCGTTGATTGGCGGCCATGACTTGTCGGAGAAATACGACAATGGTATGTTGATTTAGACAATAGCAGCTAACGAGTGACGGGGAATGACAGATTATCTTTCCCGAGTTACATTAATTACGTAATTCTCTCCCGACGGGGAATGATAGATTATCGCCAAGGCTCGAGAATTACGTAATTAATATAACTCGGGTAAGATAATCTCTCATTCTTCGTTATGTGTTGGTTGTTGTTTTTATTACCCATATCAGTTTTCGATCTAAAAAACACTAAAATGAAAACAGCAGTTTCTCTCTAAGGAAACACGGGCCGCTATGAAGGGAATCCCCGTATAATGACGCGCGTGATGCGGCTTCACTTCCAAGAATTTCATCGAATTACCGCTATGTTAAACAGGTGTTATATCACGCGAGACTAAATAGTCCCTTAGACAGGGATGTGAAACCTTGGAACTTGCATCTCACCTTGTTCAGTCCTCACAACAGGTACACTGAACAACTCTTCCCAATATGCTGCCATCAACCTTCACTCTGTCATTTACCTTTGTCGGAGATAGAGATGACGTCTTGTGTGTGGATGTTCGACAAAACAACACAACAGCAGACGTATTGTATCACCCAAACCGAAAAATGAGTCTCGTTAACCAATTTAGACAATGACCTACTTTCCAGCCCATCCGAAATTTCCCGTGTGAAAGTGAAAAGAAACG